TGGGGAATTGTAAGGTCAGGGAACCAGTCTAGCTGGCTTGTACCCGTTCATAGTTGTGTAATCGATTGCAAACAAGTGCGATCGTCAATTGGGGCCAGTATTAGAAAAAAAGCCATTTTTTTCCAACGCTGGTCGGCCGACCAGGGTTGGATATTGATACAAAAATACCACTTCTCTTGAAAATGACAGTATACCAGGTGCCATGATTTTACAGGATGCTTTACACTGTCATTCACTAACAGTCCAGTAAGGTATTTCAAAATGATTTGGTAGTTTTACTTTTTGATGTTTGCAAATGTTGTATTTTCCCTTTAAATAACATTCCACAATACTGTATATTTGGTATATTTCTAAGGTCTTTGGTCTCTGTATGTGTTGACTCTAATACCTTTAACCACTTCCCTTTTGGAAAATCGTGGACTTCAACACCCAGCCTACTTTCCATAAAATCTTAGATCTGCATGGTGGCCCAATAATGTGAGCAAAGGAATGACCCTTCACATTGTTTGCAAATAGGGCAGAGTGCACATTTTAAAAATATTACAAACGAGAGGGAAAGTATTACCACGAGAGGCAATTCAATTTTCTCAGATTCGTCTCAGTAAATGCAAAGTCAATGCATGATGTGTTTCCAAGTATAAGATATAACCCTACTCCTGTATAACATGTAAACATTTCCTTAATTTTTTTATTCAATTTTTCAATTATTGGAAAAATTGTTGAGATTAAATGAATGAAACTTATTTTGGAATGAGAAAGACTTTGCACTTACATGTACATGAGACAAAAGTAAATACTCAAAAGCAACTGGACGAAATATGTGTGATTTCGAACTAAAGCAATAGTTTAAAAGTAAATCACATGCAATCCCTTGGTTGTCTCTTTCACAGTGCTTTCTGAGTACCTCATTAAATTAATATAGTTTCATTACATTCACAACCAAGTTGAAAATGAAAACCTTGTGCATTCTACTGCAATGATACATGGATGTTTGTACATGTGGTTGGTATGATGGATGTACATTTGTAAATTGAAATATTTTTTTCTGCCTTTCTCATATGTGATTGTTTACATACTACAATAGAAGATGCATTTAGAACATTCTTTGAATTTGGGGTCCAGTTTTTCCTGTCCCTATACGTCTGGCATCTACAATTTTGCAATAGCAGATGCACTCCATAATGTGTGTACTCTTTCTCCAAGAATGCTTCTGTGAATCAAATGACCTACCCAACAAATATTAATTAGTTTGAAGTCATTTGAAATGCCACTTGAATGGCAAATGATAAATTTCAGAGGTTACAGGGACAGGAAAAATGTCCGACTTTGGACCCTTAATGTTAAAAATGACCTACTTGTGAGAGGTTCTGTAACATTACAATAATAGTTTAGTTTATTCCATAAAGGATTGAGGCTTTTGCTTCTTTGAATAAGTATTGGTTTGCTAAATGCTGATAGACCAAGTAGTCTAAATGAAGCAATGAGCATTTGCTTTAATAACAGAGTATCTCTCCAAGAGAACGCAGCTTCCATGACAACAATGGCACTTCAGCCAAGATCCAAAGTCTGTTATTTACCAATCAGCATCTCACATACGTTTCAGCTGCATTTCCCACTGGGCATGTGTGACTCCTAGGGTTATTTGCATACATAATGAGGGCTGCCTATTTTACACCGATGATGCAACTCAAAAAGATTTATTTTTGTAATATTTGTATTTTATCATTTATAGACCACTTAATTTGGGAGCCGTTGTTATTGTATCACTAGTTAGTTCATTCACTGTATATTTTGTCGAAGACATTTTTTAAAACCTTTTCTGAGAACGTAGAAACAGTGATTTCATGAAACAACCGTCTTTTCTGAGGTGTAATTTGTTTACATTTAGGACCATTTTGGTTTTCAACAAAAACATAATTTCGTACATTCATTCTTGTACATAACGGTAGAGGGGATTATCAAGTAATCAGATTTGTGAACACATTTTTGCTTGATGTCTTTAATCTCTTGATTGGCCGCAGTCAAGTACCCACCACACCTATAGATAACTTATAAATATCACACATTCTATCGGAGTGAAACGTACGTGATCTGGAACTTTCCAAAGGTACCAGCGGCGTAACTAGGGTTAAGCTTCTAGGGGGCACCTGGGGGTTCACCAATTTTTTTTGAAAGGGGGGGGGGGCAAGGAAGGTAACATATACATTTGTTGTGAGCAATTCAAGATTTCAAATAGAATGGGAGGGGGGGGGGAGAGACACATGCCCCATAGTTACACCTTTGAAAGGTACACAGAAATATGGAATTCTAACATCATATCCGGTTTAACAGTCCCTTAACATATTTACAATTAAAACTAGTTACGAACCAATAAAAGGTTTGAATGGTATCAACCCCATTTAATTGCCTAATATTGCAGTCCACTCTTTTCTGAATAAATTGAAATACAAAATGGTTTTGTAGGAATGAAGCCTCAACACTAGTCTGAGTATCACCCGTTGTATCACCCTCTCTGTCTCTGGTCAAACGTCTGATATACCTAAGCATGCAAATTAATGCGACCCCGCGCGCCAGCCATGAGGTGACATGACATCATTTCATTCCTTAATCTGGACTTAGCTGTTGATTGGTCAATTTTGATGCCATGTTTTTGTAATACAACAACGGACACAGATATCTAATAAAACCTGACATTGGCTTTCAAAACTGTAAACATACAGAAACGCTGACCGTGGGTGAAACTTCAATGCGCAAGAGGGGATTCTCATTACGTCTGTTATTCAAAATACTACATGATGATAAATCAAAGTCACAGGATGTTTGGGCATCGTGTAACGTATCGATACAGTCCGCTTGACATAGGCTATTTTTGCTAACATAATTTCAAATTATGTAAAGGTTCTTACCTGCCATATAATTGGAATTATATGAGGCCGAGGAGGAGAGACTCACCGTGTATTATTGTCCCTGGTAATACGGTTTGCACCACCCTTTGAAGAAAATGGATCCTTCCTTCATTCATAAAAATGCAAATTAGCCCTAGCACGCTGGGTATAAAGCCCCCAAGAAACCATTGAAGCATGTCTCTTTGTAGATCTAAGGTACTGGTCCTGGCTGAGGACTCAAGATGGGTGGGAGGCTGAAGAGAACTGAGGCACCGAGGGAGGGAGGTGAGTCTCTCCTCCTGGGCCTCATATAATTCCAATTATATGGTAGGTAAGAACCCTTACATAATTTGAAATTATATTTCGTCCTCGTCGTCGAGACTCACCGTGTATATTTCACAGCTAAGCCGAAGACAGGACTCCTCTTCCATATTCCTCTGAACATGGTACATCTTGCTTGTAAAACTTTCCAAAGGTGTTCACCGATGACCAGTCTGCTGTCAGTAAAATCTGAGCAGTAGAAAATCCTACTCTTGCTGCAGCAGATGTAGACGCAGCCCGAGTAGAATGTGCTTTATAATGTGAGACATCTATTCCTGCCGATGCCATCACTATTTTCAGCCATCTTGCAATAGTAGATGAAACTACTGGATGATGAGGTTTCCCGAATGATAGAAACAGCCTTGTAAAGCGCTGATTATTTAGGCATCTAAGCAATCGTGTACGATGAATATACACCTCCAACGTTGAAAAAAAACACATAGTTTTCGATCTGCTGGATAACGGGCCAAAACAACACTTGGAACTGGCCTATGTGCTGAGGAACATTTAGACTGGCTGACTGGTGCAAATTCAAATGCTGTCCTGGACTTCTTCATGTGATGTAAATCCAGAGCAATTAATGATGAGCAACGCCCTGCTGTCACGAGAGCGACCAGCATGACCAATTTGAGCGTCAGAAGCCTCAAACTGAGCTTCCTGTTTGATGAGAGTGAACCAAGGTAACGGAGAACTTTCCCAACATCCCAAGTAAATGAATACCTAGGTTTCGGTGGTCGAATATTAAAAATACCTTTAAAAAGCCTTGTCATTAAAGGATGTCCAATAGGGACATCATCCACCTGAACATGGGCTGATGAAATAGCAGACCTGTAGACATTAATTGTCCTATATTGTAGCCCATCTTCCAACAATGCATGGAGAAACTCCAACACTTCTGCTAAAGGTGCTTGAACTGGATCCAAGTGTCGTTGATGACACCAGCGACTCCAGCGATTCCATGCTGAGTCAAATTGAGCATTTGTTCCTTTTCTCCATGATGCCATGATAACTGAGGACACCTTCTGCGAAAGTCCTCTTGCTGCGAGTGATTTCCCGATAGCACCCAGGCGGCCAGCTGCATCACCTTGTGCATGGGGTGTTGTTGATGATTGTGACATAATTGAAGGAGATCTGGGCGCTGTGGTAACAGTAATGGTGTTTTTACTGTCAGTTTTAACATTAGTGGATACCACGGTTGTGTTTTCCAAACTGGTGCGATTAGCAGAACTGTGGCTTCTTCTACTTGAATTTTCTGAAGGCACCTTGAGAGCAGACTGAAGGGAGGAAACAGATACCCTGCCATGTTGCACCAGTTGATGGTGAACGCGTCCACTTGCCATGCTTGTGGATCTGGGTGCCATGATATGAATCTTGGAACCTGTCTGTTGAGCCGTAATGCAAACAGATCGATCGACGGTTGAAATTTCATCTTTTCTACCACTGCTCTGTAAATTTCGGGGAGAAGATGCCACTCTGTGCGGTCGTTAAGTTGCGCGACAATTCGTCTGCTATGACATTTTGTGCTCCTGGGAGATATTCTACTGACAATGTTATTTGTCTGTGTAGACACCATGTCCATATCTTCACTGCAAGGGATGACAATTCTGGCGAATGAGTCCCCCCTTTGTGGCTGATGTATGACATTACTGTCATGTTGTCCACCTGTAGTCGGATGTGTAGGTTGCGTTGATGCTACACCAATGCCCGAAGGGCGTAGTATATGCTATGATTTTAAGCCTCGCCCTTTTTGAGCAACGATAGACTGATTCAAAACCACATCATTGCTGAACATACCTGTTCATCAGTCTGTGATGTGTAGAGGTGGGCGTGGCTCTCCCCAATCTCAGCATTCATCTCAGCAATGGACCAATCAGCCTATGGAGGGCACAAAATATGAATGAATATTCAAAATTAGTGCCGAATGAAATGAACCCCAGTTTAGTAGAAGAGAAAGCTTTAGAAATGTGAGTTTTGGAAATTTAAAGCACTGCTGATGCTGAAAAACTGAAAATATGACAAGTTTGTTGTTATGGTGAAAGCAAGCGTAGTGCTGTTGAATGCTATACATGCATGTAAATTGTAAAACACTAACTGCAGAGTAACTAAAATGTAGATGAATATAAAGAAAGTGAAAAAAAAAACAACAAACCAAAACTAGGTTCCAAAACTAATTACAGTCGGTTCATTGTGTACCTCTTTTTTTATTTGTTTATTTTTGTCTACACAACAGACTTGAGTATCCTGACTGGAGACAAATCAAAGGATATTAAAACAGGTGTCATCTGCAATAACAGTCAGTTTAGGTCTGCATCAGGTAATTGACCCTGTGGCTTCTTTATGTTTACCTTTCTGATAAACCTGTCCGTAATCTTGCTAATTACAAGCTCTTAGATATAAAACACAGTGAGCATGCTGTATTTGATTTTGCTATGAGCATGTACCAAAGCTCTACATTAGTGGAATCTGGGGACTGCAAATATTACCAGCCCAGAACCTTTGGATCCATTTGAGATAAAACACTGCATTTGATTTTACTATGAGCACGTACCAAAGTTCTACGTTATCGGAATTGGGGTCCTGGTACTGCAAATATTACCAGCCCAACACCTTTGGATCCATTAGATATAAAACACTGCATTTGATATTACTATGAGCATGTACCAAAGCACTAAAAAAGAGGGATCTGGGGACTGCAAATGACTGTATTCAAAATCAGGTGACATGGTCTGTGTTGATACAGAGGGGCGTATACATAGATCGCCATCTTTGTTCATTTCAACCAGCATATAAGCCGTTTTAGTGTAAGCGACATCAGAATTGGCACAGCAGTGGCTAATTGTATGAATCCATAAGGTAGGGTTTTAAGTTGGTTTATGTGTAAGTCTGTCTTAACAATGGAACTATTAAGCAAACAATTGATTTACATCGCTAACGACACAAAAATATGTATTGGAAATTAAGGCGGATCTGTAATGTAAAACATGTCAGAATTAATGCTACAGTAGAATATGTGAATTTAGTAATTGTATTCATGACAGAAAAAAACAAGTGACAGCTCCTTGTTTGTACTTAGTTTTACAAAAATAATCTTGATGATTTGGCACAAATGCTCCTTACTGATTAAAACAAATATCAAAACCGATGTAAGGATGAGTTTTCATTTAACAAAATAGTACACCTTTCTTTATCAATGTGGACTTGTTCCGGCAATTAAGTGTACGCTTTAAAATACAGGCAAATTATAATACCTAAAACATTGTTTCATGTTATGTGAACCGTCTGTTTTAATCTGCTTCATTCAGAGCTGTAGCTATGTCTTCATATTCAAGTCAATCACAAGTCATATTTGTAAGGGCAACTCACAAACTAGTTGAACCATGCCAAAGACATTCTTCGTCACTGAAAACCTGTTACTTGTCAGTGTCACAAACGTCAATATATTTGAGAAATTAATTATTTTGTGGGATCTATTTGATTATGATTGTGATTGTATAAGTTTGGTCCTTATAATTGGATAAGAGTCCTTGTTATTGTTGTATAAGATTATTGTTTATGATTATATGAAATTTGGTGAAGAAGTGTTAAAATCATGGTCGTTTAATACATGTAATGAAACTCACTTTAAACTACAAATTTAATGGTTGATTTGACACTAGTTGCCACTTTAAACCATGTGCATTCGCGTGTTGAGATATCTTTTGTCAACTACCACACGGGGAAAGGTTTACTTGCTTGGGTGTAATACAAAGAACTCTGTTCCTTATTTGGTTTAAACATGCAAATTGCTCAGGTGAACCCCACATTTGTAGAATGTCATTTGAAGAATGGTTATAGGATTTAAGAGCTGCAATGCTGTTGGTCTGTTAGGATCGGGTGGTTAATCCCAACAAATATGTTTGGAGTGGTATAAAATGAAATGTTTGGAGTGATGCGTCACTTAGTAGCTTACTCACCGGCTCGAGGACACGGGGGTATTGAGGCCCTTGTTTTGCTCTCCAGTTTGGGGAAGGCCGACGGATAGGCGCTCAAATTTGTGTATTGCCGGCCTGATGCCGATGAATTTTGAAGACGCCCGTTTGGCAATGGGTTTGCCGAGTTCGGGGGGCTACTAAGTCACTTACCTCAAAAGCCAGATTTATTCTGTAAGTATTCATGTCATGCCTGTATCATTATTTGAAACTTGAGACAGCAATTTTTGAACTGTAATAGGGCCATGCTAAGGACACAAGTTACTGGTATTTATTTTGTATTAGAATAACTGAGTGAAGCATGAGATTATGATGGGTTTCTGTTTAAAATGTTTGGGAAAGAAAACCTGTGTGAAGTAGAATAAAATTATTTAGAGGTAATATTGATAATTGAATTTCAGGGCTTTTTTGGGTTGGAACGGGGACACGCTTTTTCACCTGAATGTTCCATCGATGAGCTACCGGGAGCGCCGCGCCGACGACCAGAATCCTGTGGACTGGACGTCACCCACTGGAGGCCGTCGACACCCGTAACCCGATGTCTCTGTTCGTGTCCGTGCCGGTATTCTTATGTTGGTGGTGGGGATTTATATTGTAATTAAATGTCAATTGTAAATATTGTAATTTATTTTGATTAAGTTAGTTGGTTGTATTAAATTTCTTTATTTCCATACAATTGGTCAAGTGTCTCGCATTACTTTTGTTGGTGAAGTTCATTTTCCATGGTTTCTTTTACACTGTATCACCCTCACAATTGTCCCGATTATGGTGGACCTTGTGACATTGGGGGCTTGTCCGGGAAACGTCCTTCCCGTTAAAAAGGGACACCGATACAGTTATTAGGAATCTGCGGGAAGTGTTCAAGCTCTGACAAAGGTGGCTTGACTTAACCAGTCTTTCATTTTGCATAGGTTGATTGGATATTGTGATTTTGTTAAGGATCTCTCTATAGTGTAGGACTTTGTAAACCATGGAACAATTTGAAGACTTTTTAATAGCAGGTCGTAAGATAGGTTTAGAAGGAAAGGACTTGGTTGTATTTGCAGAAAAACGAGAGGCAACTTATAAAGAACAAGTTCAACGTGATGAAAGGCAGCAAGAGAGGGAACATCTAAAACAAATGAAGGAGTATGAACTCCAAATTGCAGAACAACAAAGTAACTTAGCTGGTACTGCCGTGACTATAAGCACAGGTCAGATTAGGAATGTAAATAAACCTAAACTTCCTCCTTTTCAAGATCGAAAGGATGATTTAGATGCATACATAAAGCGCTTTGAAAGATTTGCTCAGGCTGTTGATTGGCCAGAACAACAATGGGCCACAATTCTCAGTACACAATTGACTGGTAGGGCTCTAGAATTGTATTCACGATTACCTCCAGATAAGGCTAGTGATTATCAAGAGTTGAAGAAAGCACTTCTTCATAGGTATGATTATACTGAGGAAGGGTTTCGCCTTAAGTTTAGGACAGCTAAAAGAGAGGAAGGAGAGACATACAGTCAGTTTGCTCAACGTATGGCTGGGTATTTGGATAGATGGACAGAGTTAGTTGAGGTTAAAGATTACGAGACCTTGAAGGATTTGTTAGTAAGAGAGCAAATGTTGTTAGCTTGTCCAAAAGACTTAGTCGTCTTCTTAAGAGAAAGGAAGCCCACGAGTGTAAAAGATATGACTGGATATGCAGATCAGTATGCCCTAGCTCATGATAGTAATAGGAATGTAGAAAGACAGAAAACGCCATTTAGGAGACCTCAGGTAGAAACAAAAGGTAGCAATCCTCATTCGCCTGTAGACCCCAAGACTACTGTAGACAATGCAGTTAGATGTTTTGTTTGTGGAGGAAAAGGACACATTGCAAGGTTCTGTAGGAATAGGTATAAGACGCAAGGTGCGTTTAACAAAGACAAAGCTGCTGGAGTAGAGGTTAGTGAGGCAAATGCTAATGCCAATGGTAGGCCTACTGTAAGTCAACCGTTAGGTGCATGTGTCCAAGTTAGCCCTTGTCAACATGTTACATCATCTGGTGGAAAACATGTCAAATTAGCTTGTGGAGGTGAACTTCCTATTGTAAGTGCTGCATGTTCATTAGGAGGAAAAATGCCAGTAGTTCAGGGAATGGTAGGAGATCAGAGAGTTGAAGTATTGCGAGATACTGGTTGTAGTACTACTGTGGTACAACGCAGTTTAGTTAAGGAAAGTCAGTTTTTGCCAGAAGAGAGACACTGTGTTTTGATAGATGGGACTGTTAGAAAATTTCCAGCAGCAGAGATACAAATAGATACACCCTACTACCAAGGCACCATTGTAGCTTTGTGCATAGATAAACCCTTGTACGGTTTAGTGTTAGGCAATATCTCAGGTGTCAGGAAACCTGAAGATCCAGATCCAAATTGGCAGTTCCCATTAGATAAAGATAACGCCATAAGGCATGCAAAAGACAAAGAAACAGAAATTGGTGCGGTAGAGACGAGAAGTCAAAAGGAAAAGAAAAATAAACCTTTCTCCTCACTTAAAGTACATGATATTCAAAACATTGCAAGTAGTAAGGAGTTTGCCAAGGCTCAGAAAGATGATGTCTCACTTGAAAAAATTTGGAAATTTGCTGAAGAAGGTTCAGTCCGAAAGACAGGAATTGCAAATGAGATCAAATTTGTAAAGAAGAAGGACATGTTGGTCAGAGAATTCACATCACCCAATGTTGAGAAGGGAAGACTCTTTAAGCAACTAGTAGTACCTAGTAAGTATAGGGAACAAGTGATGAAAGTAGCTCATGATTCAGTGATGTCTGGACACTTAGGTGCAAAGAAAACAAGTGATAGAGTGTTAGCTAATTTTTATTGGCCAGGTTTGCTTGATGACATCAAACGATATTGTGCATCTTGTGACATTTGTCAACGAACTATCGCAAAAGGAAAAGTAGCTAGAGTTCCGCTTGATGACATGCCGTTGATAGATACGCCATTTCGTAGAATAGCAGTTGATATTGTAGGACCGATTCAACCTGTAACAGACAAAGGTAGTCGATATATCTTAACAGTTGTAGACTATGCTACACGGTACCCAGAGGCAGTTGCACTTCCAAAAATTGAAGCAGAACGTGTAGCCGAGGCGTTACTTACAATTTTCTCTCGAGTTGGGGTACCACAAGAAATTCTGACTGACTTAGGTACACAATTTACAGCTGAAGTAATGAAAGAAGTTAGTAGATTAATTTCCATGAAACAGCTTCACACAACTCCGTATCACCCAATATGCAATGGTCTTTGTGAGAGATTTAATGGTACATTGAAACGCATGTTACGCCGCATGTGTGTAGAGCGTCCAAAGGACTGGGATAGGTATCTTCCCGCACTTTTGTTCTCGTATAGAGAAGCGCCACAAGAAAGCCTAGGGTTTTCCCCTTTCGAATTACTATATGGACGTACAGTTAGGGGTCCCCTCGCCATACTAAGAGAACTTTGGTCAAAGGAAAATGATGAAGAGGAAGTTAAGACCACATATGAGTATGTTGTAGAGTTAAGAAATAGGCTAGAAAGAACTTGTCAGTTAGCCCAGGATGAACTTGCTAAGTCAGCCAAGAGATACAAGAAGTATTACGATGTGCGAACTAGGGACAGAAAGTTCACTAAAGGTGATAAAGTGCTAGTGCTTTTGCCTACTGATTCAAACAAATTGTTAGTGCAATGGCAAGGCCCGTTTGAAGTGACTAAAAAGGTTGGCAAGAATGATTATGTGATAGACAAACAGGGAAAGGACAAGATTTATCATGCGAATTTGTTGAAGAAATATGTAGAGAGACAGAATGATGAAATAACACATGCAAGTGCTTGCCTAGAAAATGTAGGTGCAGGTATACTAAATGATCATGACTGTGAAGTATTAGATGAAGTTGAATTCCCCCCTGTGAAACCAAAAGAAACTGTGCAGAATGTTCATATCAGTGACAAATGTGATAAGAATGAAGTAGGTCAGGTTAAAGAACTGTTGGATGAATTCCATGATGTATTAACTGATGTGCCAGGGAAAACGAATCTTGTAGAGTACACTATGAAACTTACTACATCAGACCCAGTGCAATCCAAACCATACGCTGTACCTCATGCTAGAAGAGATTCATTGAAACATGAAATTGATGAAATGTTGCAAATGAGAGTGATTGAAAAATCCACTTCACCATATGCATCTCCTATTGTTCTTGTACCAAAAAGTGATGGATCATTGAGATTCTGCATAGATTACAGAAAATTAAATTCTGTCACAATATTCGACCCAGAGCCAATCCCGAACATTGAGGATTTATTTTCGAAGATATCGAAGGGTACATGGTTCACAAAACTCGATCTATCAAAGGGGTATTGGCAAATCCCAATAAAAGAGAGTGATAGAGATAAGACAGCATTTATTACATCTGAAGGAGGTCTTTTCCAATTCACTGTATTGCCGTTTGGCATGGTCAATGCTCCTGCGGTTTTCACCCGTATGATGCGTTTGTTGTTGGAGGGTTTTGACAATGTGATCAATTACATAGATGACTGTTTGATATTTTCAGACACATTTGAAAACCACTTGAAAGATGTTCAGTTGGTGTTAGAACGCTTGCGTGAAGTTGGCTTAACAGCAAGACCAAGTAAATGCTTTGTTGCGTACACTTCACTAGAATTTCTAGGCCATGTTGTAGGAGAGGGAGTGTTGAAGCCAGTGCCTGCTAAAGTTGAAGCAATTATGAAAGCTGAGAGACCACACACTAAGAAAGAAGTACGGTCATTTTTGGGTTTAGTAGGATATTATTCTAGATTCATCCCAAACTTCTCTGCAATTGCAGCACCGATATCTGACTTGGTGAAGAAAGGCAAATCTAATCGAGTAGAATGGAATGAAGCACAGGAACATGCTTTTGTAACCCTGAAGACAAGATTGGCAACATCACCAATCTTACATTTGCCAAATCCCGAGTTGACCTATATTCTGAGGACTGATGCCTCCGATAAAGGAATCGGGGCGGTGTTGATGCAAGAAATTGAGGGGGAAAATTTCCCCGTCTGTTATGCAAGCAAAAAATTGTTAGCCAGGGAACAAGCATACTCCGTGATCGAGCGGGAATGTCTCGCTCTAGTTTGGGCGGTGAAAAAGTTCTATGTATACTTATTTGGAACACAGTTTATTCTAGAAACTGATCACCATCCACTGGC